ATTGGACCAAAGACCCATTGGTTTGTCTTTTGGTATTTGCTTGCCAATTCTTTGGTTAATATTGTCCTGGTTCAATTTAGTTCTTGCAAGTCATCCAATGTCTCTTAATCATCTTTTCCCCCCAATGTCACTCTTATGCTTTAGAAGGTCTAACTGGCATATTTTTCCATTGTTGCATGCAGCTATAAGAAGTAATTTTGTCAACCATTCTATGTCCAAATAAGTGGATCAATCCACAAATCAAATTTTACTATTAAATAGGGTTTCCACATTTAAATCTTGCACAACTACCACTTCTATCTTCAACCTTACTGTTGGATGCTTTTCAATCAGTGTAGATTGCCAAAGCAATGACCATGACCGGAAATTTTTTATCTGCACATCCAGTATCTAATGCAACCGATGAACCACCAAAAGAGGAAATTAGGGTGCTGAAGGTAGAGAATTAACCTGCAGTTGACGTCGATGGTAAGATTTGTGGTGTGTGCTGCAGAAATGAAATTCTAAATGAGTACTGTTGTTTCCTTCTGTAGTTTGGAGAGCTTCAGGTTGAACTAACTCCAGACAAAGCCTACATTGGCGCTGTAATTGGCTTCATTTTTGGGTAGTTATTCCTCAAAATTTGAGTTCTCTTTTTTCTACTTCAGTTCATAACCATCTTTTTGCCCATCTTAAATATTTTAAAACTAGGATTCTGTCATGGGAAGTAAGTCAAGGCATCCAAAGCATACCAGAGAACTCACTTCAATATGCAAATGACAATGCTTTGCTGCTTGCTAAGGTGCGTGAAAGGAATGTTTTGTCAAGTCTTTTCTCAAAATTTTTCCCTTTATTTATACTCGAAAATTATGTTGATGCAGTCTTTGCGTGGAGCTCTCCTTGCACTTTTCTATTCTTCGACTTTCTTGTCCGCATTTATTGTGGTGGGACTTCTTGTCCTTGCAGGACAACTCAAGTCAAAAGAAAAATGAGATTTTGTAGGCGCCTCCTTGCCTCAATTTTGCCTATATGTCCGAGAGTTCTAAAATTGAGGAAGAAATAAGTGTGAAGGAAAGGAAACGACATGACCAATATGTATATAACATCACAAAATGTTCCTACTGTATAAACTGAAATGTTCCATCTAGTTTCTTGTCTTGGCAATTATTGGAGATGTAACAGCAGCCTAATTTATTAAGGCTTATTAAGTTTTCTATTTTTCTTTTTTTATCTTTATTATAATTTTCATTGGCTACATATATGGGGCTCTATATTTAATTTGTATCTCTTTCACTCACGTCTATTTCAAATTGGTATCAAAGTCATAATCATAACCCTAACCCTAACCCCTTCGTCACCACGTTGCACCCACCAATCACCACCAATAAATCACCTAACTGACAGAACATACTCCGGCAAAACCCACCGACATCATAAACAGTGAACCCACTTTGCCCAGCGACACACTATCATACCCGCAGACATCATAAATAGCGACCCAACTGCCCAGTGACCCAACTGCCTCAATCCCACCAAGAACCAATCCCAAAGCCACTGAAACTCCAACACGACTGCAAACTCCAATCCCAAAGCCACCAAACCTCCGTCTGCAAACCTCCGACTGCTTAATCACCCAATAACCCACTGATACATCATCGAAACTCCAAACCAGTAACGTACCCACCGAAACTCCAAAACAGGTCATATACCAAGAAAAAAAAAACATACCCACCACCCACCGATTGCCTTCCCAACTAGCCACCCACCGACTGCCTTCCAAAACACAAGCAAAATCAACACACAAAATAAAAAAAAAAATACACCCACCGAACCTAAACCCCAAACGAATCTAAACCTAATCAGGCCAGTACACAATCAAAGTCCACAAACCCAATAAACCCACCAACCCAATAAACTAGACCAGCCCAATCCATAAAATAGAGACCCACCAACCCACTGCACAGACCAATCCCCAACCCATTAACCCAGTTGTCCCGCCTTCGTGTTTCCTGCTCTTCATCGTAGTGTCGCCATCTCTGCCCACTACTGCCTTTGTTTTCCTGGGTTGTAGCATCTAGGACTTTTTAAGAGGGGTTGAATCCTCGTCTCCATTAATCTGCTCTTGATGCAGTAAATCATTTATATTTATTGGATTTTTGGGCACCGTGACCTGATTATTTGGGAGCTTTCTGTACCTTTTTTATCTGTCGTTACCGTTCGACTGAAGGTATATTATTCTCTCTTATTTTATCCCTCTATTTGTTAGAGTTGTTTTTTCTGTCATGAGTGCCCACGTATTATTATTGTCATGACTACTACTGAAAAACTAGAGATTCCTTCCGTAGAGACCTCTACTGTTGAGGCTTCTATTAGTTCTTCCACCGGCCATGTACCGCCTGCTTCTCTTACTTTTATGTTTGACCAGTACATGGTACCTACTAGCAAAGTTACTTTATCGGCAATGCCGGAAATGATCTCTCAAAAGGTTACGGCACAGTTGTTGAATGGTCACAATTTTGCTGAGTGGTCACGTTCATTCCAACTTTTCTTGAGCCGTGTAGGGAAGCTTGGTTGGCTGACGGGATCTCACCCAAAGCCAGCTAATGCCGACCCTGGATATTCTGCGTGGTTCTCTGAGAACTGCGCTATTCTTGGATGATTATTTGGCTCGATGGAGCCATCTATTTGTAGGATACACCAGTTTCATAGCTCTGTTCCAAAATTATGGAGCGCATTATCAGAGATGTATTCCCAGTCAAGACGGGGAGTTCGTATTTATGAGCTTTCTCAGGAGCTCTCATATGCTCGGTAGGGAGATATGACTGTTCAGGATTATTATGGCTATTTAACCCAGTGCTAGCTTGAGTTTGAGACTCTATGTCCTCTTGCTACTATTCCGCGGATAGAGCCCGAGGGAGCAGCATTCTTGCATACTTGATAAATAGGATGATAGGATTCACAAGTTCCTTATGTAATTTCATGATGAGTTTGAGGGTCCTCGTTCTCAAATCTTATCAATGTTGACGCTTCTTTCTCTTTATGAGGTGTATGCGATGATTGAGCAACATGAGCGTCGCGTCCGTATTACATCACTTTCAGTTGTGACCTTGACTCCTCTAGTTGATCATATGACCCTTGCAGTAGCTGAAGGGTCTCATTCAAGATTCTCAGTCAGGGGTGGGCAGCGCTCGGACCAGCGCCGTCAGGGTGCCCCAGATCAGCGCAAACAGGGGGATTCTCGTCAGTGTGATTATTGTGGCCGACCAGGACATCTCAGGGTTGCTTACTAGAAGCTCCATCCAGAGCTTAAGCTGCCTCTTCGTGGTCGTACTGCTGCTATTGCTGAGGTGCCACTATCTACTACCGTTACTCCTACTACTGCTCCTCCTTGGTAGAGTGATATGGATGCTATCACTTCCTGATTGGATATACTTATGTCCGCTCTGACTTCTCAGAGTCCAACTACTACTGCAGCCACCACTGCAAGTATACCTCGTGTCTTTCATGCTTGTGCCAGTCTGTCTCCCCTTTGGATGCTAGACTCAAGTGCGAATGGTCACATGACTGGTGAGACTCATCATTTCACCACTTTTGACTAGCAGTTACATATACTGGTTCAGTTAGCAGATGTGACACATGCCCCTATTGTTAGTAGGGGTGCAGTCCACCTCCTAGATGACTTTACATTACGTTCGATTTTTCATACGCTAAAGTTGGCCATGAATCTATTATCTGTACATCAGTTAGCCAGAGTTTTTTACTGTATGGTTGTGTTTTTATCTAATTCGTGTTATTTACAGGACTTGAGTACCAGGAGGATTATTATCAGGGGACATGAGAGATATGGACTGTATTTTCTAGGCGATTCGCCTCCTGTTTCACCAGTTCCTCCACCTACATCACCTGCACCTGCTTTATCTTTATCTGTTCCTAGCTTGCATGTTAGTATTTTACCTAGTAATTGTTGTTATGATTTTTTGTCACAGACTGTTCAGTTGTGGCATGACCGTTTTAGACATACAAATTTTAAATATTTATGTATGTTGTTTCCTACTTTGAGCAATACTTGTGTTGGTGGTAAACTTGACTGTGTTATATGTTTCCTATCAAAACATGTTAGGACCAATTATATTCCTCGCATGCACCAGTCACCCAAGCTATGTGACCTAATACACTCTGATATTTGGGGACCCTCTTCTGTTACTGCTCTATCAGGTGCCCGATACTATGTGACATTTATAGATTATCATACATTTTGTACTTGGGTCTACTTTTTGCATAGAAAGTCTGATGTACTCCCTGTAATCACTCAATTTTTACAAATAATTAAGACACAATTCGATGTCATTGTTCATGCTCTTCGTTCAAATAATGCCAAGGAATATGTGTCTGATGCCTTAGTGTCTTACCTTTCTTCTCAAGGTATCCTTCAACAACTCACTTGTCCATATACTCCTGAGCAAAATGGCGTTACTGAAAGGAAAAATAGGAGTTTAATAGGGATGATACGTTGTATGCTTAGAGGCATAGGGGTGCCAAAATCTTNGCAAAATGGTGTTGCTGAGAGGAAAAATAGGAGTTTGATAGGGATGGTACGTTGTCTGCTTAGAGGCATGAGGGTACCAAAATCTTATTGGCATTTTGCTGTTTTGACTTCTACCTTTCTGTGCAATCGTACGCCGAGTCGTGTTCTTCAGCATAAGGCTCCCTTACAGGTTTTATTTCCTGAGCAAACACTTTTTTCGGTCCCCCCTCGTGTTTTTAGATGCACATGTTTTATTCAGGATCAGTCTCCTATTCGTCATAAGCTTGATGATAAAGTAATTTATTGTGCCTTTATGGGCTATTACAATCGGTCTAAGGGATATCGGTGTTATGATCCTATTAGGTGATGTATGTATCACAGTCTATATGTTATCTTTCTTGAGCATATTCCTTATTTTTCTTCCAATCCTGTGTCTGCCCCTCTAGTTGTTGATACTTCTTTTGATTTTTCATTACCCCCGGAGCCAGAGTCATTGGTCACTATCACTACAGAGTCATCGGTCTCTCCTCCTCCAGAGCCACTCATCCCTGGTACAGAGTCACCAGTCTCTCTTCCTTTGCAGGTTTATGTTCGTCGCCCTTGCTCTCATCCCCCTACTGATGTCTCCTCTACCTCAGGCGATGCAGATAATACTTCTCAGTTTGTTGAGCATATTGATGCACCTACTGTTAGTACTGATGACATTACAGGTACTGAGTCAGTTGTTTTACCTAATGAGATATTGTTAGTAGAGGATGATGATTTAGAGCGTCGTTATTCGCAGCGTGATCATCGTCCAGTTGTTCGTTATGGTTGGACTGCCAAGATTTTATACCCGATCTCATCTTATGTTTCTTATGGTGATCTGTCTCCTATATTTTGGGCTTATAGTATAGCCTTATCAGATACGCCAGTTCCTTGCTTTGTTTCAGAGGCTATGCAAGAGCCCAGTGGGTTCTTGCCATACAGATAGAGATGGACGCTCTTCAACGTAATCATACGTGGAATCTTGTTTTTTTACCTTTAGGGGTGAAACCTGTTAGCTGTCGCTGGTTTTACACCTTGAAGTTTCTTGCAGATGGTACTATTGATCGTCACAAGGCTAGGCTTATGGCGAAGGGCTTTACTCAGGTACCAAGTCGTGATTTTGGTGTTACTTTTGCCCCCGTGGCAAAATTGACTGTTGTTCGACTGATTATTTCTCTGGCTGCAGAGTACGCTTGACCTCTTCATCAATTAGATGTGAAGAATGAATTTCTTCACGGTGATCTGAACGAGATTATTTATATGGATGCACCACCGGACTTTCGTGGTGAGGGGGAGTATGCTGGAAAGGTATGTCGACTGCGTAAGTCTCTTTATGGACTGAAATAATCACCATGAGCCTGGTTCTCTCGCTTTAGTGATGTAGTTGTACGTTTAGGGTTCACCAGATGTCATTCTGATCATACCTACTTCATTTGATGGAATATTTATGGAAAGTGTGTCATCCTTTTGGTATATGTTGATGATATTATTATTACTGGAGATGATGTTTCTGGAACTGCACAGGTCAAGGTAGACCTTGGGAAGGCCTTCGATGTGAAGGACCTTGGATTTTTGTGATACTTTCTTGGGATTGAGGTTGCTCGTAGCAGCAGAGGTATTATTCTTTCTCAGAGAAAGTATGTTCTGGATCTTCTCTCAAACACTGGGATGCTGGGGTGCAAATCGGCATTATCATTTATGATTTCAAACCTGAAGCTTACTGCTA